TTATAGAGTCGCGCAGCGGAATAAAATACTTAGAAAGCGTGTTACGGTCACAAATCAAGTTTAATGGTCCGTTTTAGAACAACAATTTTCTTAGAGAAAATTTATCAAACAGTTGATATGCGTAAAAGATAAAGATGTAGGGAATAGAAAATCACACAAGCATTTTTAATCCCTGGTTCGATTCAAAGAATCTACTCCAGTCGTTAATCACTATAAATAGTGATTACCTTTTTCACTAAAAGTTATTTAACAGATTACAAGAAATAGTGAATAAAGGTCAAATAAATAAACCTCCTGTCGTACGAACGAACCGGAAGACGAACACTCTGCCAACTTCGAAGAGAACCGCTCCGACTATCGACAAACGAAACACGAGCTTCTCCTATTCACGAGACCAGGCAAGCACCTTGCTAACTCGAAGAGACTTGCTCCGACTATCGACACACGACACACGAGCCTCTCCTGTTCACGAGACCAAGCAAGGGAATAAAAAAAAAAAAAAAATTCTTGACTATAGCTTTCTGAGAACTTCCTCTGACAAACAGTATTCTGGCAAGAGCTTCTATTCAACAACGTTACTATGATCTTCACAAAACCCAATATATAGCTAGCTGTTCTGAATACTCTAAGGTTAAGTCTCAACTGTCCACGAATAATCGATTATTGTAAGTGATAATCTATTATTAAGTCCGTTACAGGGTTTTAAAAGTGATATCGATTATATGAAGTGATAATCGATTATTCCTGTATGACTCTGTGATAATCGATTATTGCCATTCCATAATCGATTATTGCAGTTAAAATGGAAGTTTACATAGGTTACAAGAATTTCCTATACATTAATTTTTCTACAAATTGCTTTTATAATTCTAATATCTTCTCAACTAAAACTTCTTGTAGCATCATCAAAACAAATTTCTTCAAGATTTACCAATACTCCTTATTGGTAACAATTCTAGTATTTCTAAAACTCACCCATTAAAACCTGTATTTTGACCAAAACAACTTATAACTCAGTCTAGTTCATTTCTCCTCAACATTTAACCAAATTTAACACCACCAAACATCTCAACAACACCATTCATCATACAATTTGATTTTAATAAAGAATCATTCAATGTCAACAATCATCATGTGATCAAACACACTTACATAACCACAATTCATATTAACTAATATTTCAAGCAATTCAACATTTTCTAACTACACACCCCAATACTATTAATTTATACTTCACAATTCAACATAAAACACGAACTAGCTTCCCTTACTTTAAAGAGAATTATCACAAATCAGCACAACTCGCCAACCTTGGTTAGAGCTCAAGGAATTATGTAAACATCTACAAAACATAGAATTGCGATCAAAGAGAGTCCTTAGAACCTATGATCAATAAGAAACTAGAAAAGATAACCGGAATACACATACGATAAGGTACTCCTATGCATGACTTCAAACTAAGAGCGAAATTAAAAATGATCAAAACTTACTTGCTCTAGAAGGAAATCTGATCGGATGAGACTGGAGATTACGCTGTTGTGATCTCCTAGACACTTCCTAATCATCAAACTGATGATCGATGAGTTAAAATTTGTAGAAAAAAGAAAACTTAGAGAAAGAATTATAAAGAGATGACGATTGTTTTAGATAATGAGACGAGTTTAAAAAATTCTATTTATATTAAAATTAAAATATTTGGTCTTAATATTTTATAATACATATTAACTCTAATACTCTATTTTATAAGTTCTTACATACATCTACACATATACATGTTATAAATATTTATATATAAAATGCTTACTGAATTTCTATTGTTTAAAAATTCATTATAATATGTACATATGGAATTAATAGAACTTCATTAGATTTAAAATGAAATTAAAAAATTATATATAATCCAATAATTGATAAATAATCATATTTTTTTATATAGTATTAGATTAATTTATATATGAAATGACAAGAAAAAAAATAGGTGCCTAAATTATAAGTGGTAATAAAGTGATAATTTTGTTAAATATTTGATTTGATTGTGCCACATGACAGTTTAATATTTTTTTCAAATATTAACATAAAATGTAATTACTTGTAAATATTTTAAGTGTGTTAAAAACTTTTCTTTTAGTTAATTTTATTACTTTTGATCTTTTTTAGTTTAAAATGTTGCTTTCTGTAATGGTTTGAAATGTATTATAGGTAGAAAAGCTGAGAAATAAAAAAAAAAAATCAGAAAAACAATAATATTCGTGACACAGTCTGCGACCATATTAATTTTTGGTGATGTTATAAGTTTCAGAATGAGTTTGAGAATATTTGGGCTAGGTCTGCTTTTAGTTGTAAATCCTAAGCTTTTAGTTTTAAGTAGTAAATTTCCTAGTTAACAAAAACGTCATGAAGTTGCTGTGGTGTAGTGGTTATCACGTTAGTCTTACACACTAAAGGTCCCCAGTTCGATCCTGGGCAGCAACATTACCTTTTTATTTCCCTAAGTTTCTTTTTTTCTTCCGTTATTTAAATGATGTAGTACTTTATATGTTTCAATTGATTTTAATTTTATATTTTATATATTTGTATATTCAATTTCACAATCGTAATTTAAGTCACAGAGAAGTAGGGCATAACTGCATGCCCTGACATTTGTATATTCAGGAGATTCATTTCATTTAGATGAGTTGCCATTTTTTCCCATTATCGTTCTCCAGTTAGCATCAACCTTTATTGATGTTTTTTTTTTCGTAAAGCATATTATTAATGTTTGATAACAATATTGAACCAAATCATTATTAAAATAATTAAATTAATACTTGAAGCAAAAGAAAATAAAAATAAAAATAAAAATAAAAATCTCTCTTCAAAATTCAAATCTACCCAAAACATTTCCCTTTCGCTACAACCCCGTCCAAACCGAGAACGTTGTCGCAATAATGAGTTAATTAATTAAAATTAATCATTTTCTGTGAAAATTGAAGGGAGTCTCAAATTTCTGTTAATATTGGTTTCGTGTTTGAGTTTGTATAAGGCTTTTCATCTTCCTTCTTCCCTCTCCTTTTTCCCTCACTTTCTCCATCTCTTTCTCTCCAAACACTTTCCAATTCTTAGTGCTCTGCTATACATGGAGATGTCAATGGAGGATTCGTGCTCCTACGAGATTCTATCAGTGGCTCTCGATGCTTTCCACCGACGCGGACGATCTCCAAGATTACCGAACAGTTCTATACCGATTGCGCCTCGAATATCTCCTTTCAGGGCGTCGTTCTAAGGTCCTTTTTACCGCTCTCCAAATTTCTCCATCGCGTTTCGTTTTTCGCTGTTTAAACTTGGAATTCCTACTGTAGGATATCATCGACTCATGCTTTGTTTTCCATTCGTGAAATCATTTGTTCTTAGTGTCTTAGAGTGGTTAGTTATCTCTGTGCAAACTTTGGATATAGGAGAATTTTCCGTTATGCTATTTTAGGGTTTGGCACGGAGTCTGTGGTGTCTCTGAGACCTTGAGATCTGGAATACGGCTAGGAGTTTCCTTGTTTTACAATTTAGGAGAGGTTCCTCTTGTCGTTGTCTGTTAATTGGTTATTGGATATTATCTGGTGTTGAATTTTGCGTTTACGGTTCGTTTGGGAAAATTTGAATGGCTGGGAAGTTGGAATTGGGGCCTCCGAAGTCTGATGTTTCCAATCCGAAGGAACAGGCGGCGAGAAAGATACTGAAAATTGTTAGATCTCAAGGGCATCCGTATGTTGAGTTGCGTGAGAATGGGAAAAAATTCATTTATTTCTGCACTCTGTGTCTTGCACCGTGTTATAGTGACGATGTTCTGTTTGATCACTTGAAAGGTAATCTTCATAAGGAGAGATTGTCTGCTGCTAAGGTTACCCTGCTAGGACCGAAACCATGGCCTTTTAATGATGGTCTTGTTTTCTTTGATACTTCTATTGAAAGTGATAGAGACTTGGAAGTTGCAGATAGTTACCAAAACAGGTTGTTGAAATTTAATAACAACGAGAATAGTCTTGCAATTGTTAAGTTTGGGAACGGGGTTCAGCCAAGTGCTGAACCATGTTCGACTGATGGCGTGCAAGATGATGAGCGTGGGCTAGTGATTCCTCATTTGCTGATTGGAGATGAAATATTTGATGTAAAAGTCAGCGAAGTGGGCTTAGGGAAGATTGCTGCAAGATTTCTTGAGAAGTGCAGCGCGTTCAGTGGAATTAAAAGAATATGGTGTGAATGGTTAGGAAAAAAAAGTAACAATCAACAAGATGGTGTTGAGGTTCTAGAGCATGATTTTGCAATTGTAAATTTTGCTTATAATTATGATCTGGGTCGGTCTGGTTTGCTTGATGATGTCAAGTCATTGTTTCCGTCTGCTTCTGGTGGCCGAAAGGGAAAGACATCTTTGTCTGACTCTGATGATATTAGTGATTCTTTAAGCAATCAGTATGATTCTTCTGCGGAAGAGTCTTCTGATTCAAACAATTCCACTACACGATTAACACTAGATCAATTCAACAATCATCATCTTTGTACAAGGTTCATTTCAAGCAAGGCTGTGAGGAAAGAATTGAGACGGAAGCAGCGGCTGGCAGCAGAGAAAGTATGTAACATCTGTCAACAAAAAATGCTTCCCGGTAAAGATGTAGCAGCACTTTTGAATTTGAAGACCGGAAGGGTAGCGTGCAGTAGTCGGAATAAAACTGGGGTAAAGACATTTTATTAGTGTTCTGATTTCAGATATAGTTTTGCTATATTGTTTTGTTTGATAATAATTGTAGAGATATTTAAACTTCATTATATGCATATTTCATTTACTAAATTAGACAATTTACATTGGCATATATTTGTAGGCATTTCACGTGTTCCATACATCCTGCCTTATACACTGGATAATCTTGTGTGAATTTGAGATAATCACAAATCATTTAGTTCGTCCAAATGTTAGAAGAATAGTGAAGAGAAAGATTGCTTCAGATGGTGAGAAAATTGGAAAAGCAAAAGATATAGAAAAGCATATAAGAACTGTATTCTGTCCAGAGTGCCAAGGTACTGGAATGGTCATTGATGGAGATGGAGTTGAACAGCCAGAATTTTCTTTGTCTCAGGTTTGTTTATAATAGTGATAATTCTTGCTTAGTTCTCCAGCTTACCAAATACTTAAATTCTATCTTGTTTTTAGCACCATTGTTTCTGTTCTTGGTAAATACTTGTCATGTGTTCAGAAAACAAGTTTACTTGGAATTTATCGGATATTGCCTAATCTTTTTGCAGATGTTCAAATTCAAAATAAAAGCATGTGATGCACGCAGAGAATGGATCAAGAGCCCCGAAGTTTTGCAGAATTGCTCAACTGGGTTTCACTTCCCTTCACAATCAGAAGAGATATTTGAGGTCTTTAATATTTCTGCATTTATTTTAATTAAATATTAGATTTTCTATTGTATATCATCTTTAGTAAATTTATTGTGAACGCTTTGGTTTCAGGAAAAAGTGGAACCCATAAATTTGCTGCATTTTTATCGTGCTGATGTTTAGAGTGGAATATAACCGGGCAAATATTTCGTTTACCTGATTGTATTTTCAAGAATTGTGTGTAAACTTTTTAGGTAAATGTTGGTTGACAAACTCGGTTATATAACCTCGTAGATAGTGACCAGATTAAACATTGTGTATACCTGCTAATGAGTTCGTGTGAGTGCACATTGTTGGCAATGTATATGTGTAAAGTGATTGCAAGCTCACCTCGTGGTACAGTGCCACCGTTGTTAGCTCACCTTTTATTTATGTTTTCTTTTGTGGCTAATATTGGTGAACACTGATTGCAAGCAACTATGAACCAATAGAAACCCTGTTTTATTACAATACATTATCATTAAGTTACTAGGCTTTACGCTGAATCTTGTAATTCCAAGGATGACTTGTAACTAATCGGTATGAGGTTTCTTCCTTGTTACTTGTTCCAACATTATTTGTTGGGAATGAGAGGCCAGAGTTTAATGTATGGGTTTGAACGTTAAAGATAGCATTTGTATTTCAGAGGCAGCTATCCAGATTTTGTACTAAAAGTTAATTTTATTTAAAGTTCTTTTCATCTGTCTTTGGGGTGTATGTTATTTGAAAAATAAAGAGATGGGAATGGAAAAGTGAGAAAATGGAGTGGTGGTGCTGGTTTTAAGCGACTTTTTTATAAGTCTTCTATTACGATTAAAGAATTGTTGTAGTTGACCCGATTTATTTGTACAAGTTATTTACATGTCTCATGAATATATAATTATAAAAAGTGGTGCTAAGAAAATGGTTATAGATGTTGAACTATAATGGTATATATCATTTCAATGTTTCAAAACAGAAATTGAAAAGAGGATTACTTTCTACTTGTAAATTCTGTAGGTCAGCAAAAAGACTCATTAAACCCTTTGTAATTTCTTGATAGTGTTATTAGTTGGGTTATTTATTGTCTTTTACCTTTGCTTTGATAGTTAAAAAAGTTTGTTCTTGACACTTGTTGATACAAGTACGCTATAATTTTAAAAGACAACCTCATTCTATCAATCTTTTTTCTGCGTTGCATTGAAAATCAATGTCATACACTTGAGTTTTCTTCCCTTTTTTACTTCTTCATGTGACGGTAAAAACTCTATTTTCTCCTCCATATATTCGCAACGCCTATCATTATGATTGGAGTTTTTTCCTACTTGAAGATTCTCCTCCTTGTGTTTTTTGCTTTACTTTGTTTATTATCAGAGTTTCTGAGGGGATTACTGAGTACTTTTACTTTCAGTTGATACAATAGTGTAGTACGTATATACTTCTTTCTTAAGATGTACATGGAGAAGATATTATTGACATTTAATTGATGTAATGGCCAATCAAGGGTGAAAAAGGTTTCTTGGTAATCTGTCATAAGTCTTTGTAAAGCCCTTGGTCACTATTCCTATCTTGTACTTTTTCAATAGACTCATCAACTTTGTACTTGATAGAGTAAATCAACTTACACCCCACTAGGTTTTTTTTTTTTTCCTTTTGATAAAGGTTCAAAATCCAAGTTGCATTTTTGTGTAATGCTTCTATTCTTCATTCATTAATGAAAAAACAAAGTGAACTAAATTACAAAGAAATCTATCATGGTATACGCCAATCAAACAAATGGCGAACCGGGTATACATTGATAATCCAACAATCTTGACTATTAAACATTCCAGAGCTGCAACTTTATATGCCGGCAAGTACAAGAAAACATTAGCTGCACTCAATCTCACTTCACAAAGCCGGCTGACACAGTTTACTTCAAGGTGACTTTGTTCCATACTTCCATATGCATTATATGTGTATATAAGTAATTTCCAAAAGTTGCCAAAAAGTCATAGCCACAGTTACACCAAAAGATGACACGTTATTACATGCACGACATCAAAATGTTGCTATGTTTGGTAATGTTTGTGTTTGTAGTTGCTTCGATCATGGAAACTTCATTGGCAGAAGGAAGGAGAGATTATCCTTTGAATGATATAGGAAGATCCAGAAGGCGAGTAGATATTGGAGGAGACATGAAAACACTTGGAACCCTTGCAGGGTTGCTTCCAAAAGGTCTTGTGCCACCTTCTGCACCAAGTCCTGACATAAACTGATCCATGTCACACCATTTGTTTGCAACTTACATCTATAATCTTGTGAAAACATATCATTGTATATTCTTTAAATTGTTCACATATAGTGGTTTTGATTTTCTATTCATTCCTTAGTACTCATATATAATGTGTAAACTTTGTCTGCACTCTGTGTTCTTTGAGTTGTGATATGTATACAATAACTTATGCAGTTCTGTGTTTCTCTCTGTCTATAAGAAAATTCTTTCTAACAACATTTTTTAATAATTTCTTTTAACAACTTTTTTACAACAATATGATAATTATATAGACCAATAAAATAGTGATGCATATATATATTTTCTTATCAAAATAATTGTTAAAAAAAATTGTTAACATTTAATATACTTTATATTTGATTTAAATATTTATTTAATTTTAATTTTCGTCAAAATATTTCAAATTACTCTCTCAATTTGTTTTAATATCAATTAGGTTCCAATTTTTAAAAATTTGATACAATTAGTCTCTTATGTGCCAAATGCGTATGTACCGTTTGTATTTTCTTTTTGTTTTAATTTATTTTAACTTTATTTCATTTAAAAAAATTGCTCATAAGTTAATTTTATATCATGTCACATGACAACATTACTGTATCATTGTAGTATCATGTATTAGTATCATATATCTTGTTATTTTGATTTTATTTAATTTTTTTTTCAAGGAAATAAATAATTTTGTTCTTTTCAAAATTGAGATCTAATTTCATTTTCATACAAATATTATATTGATATTTTATTAAAATTAACATTTACTAAAAAATATTAAATGTTATATTACTAGTTTTTTTATAAATGTATATAAAATTATTTCAATATAAATTCAAATAAAAATGATGTGATAAAATATGAATACAAATAAATTTAAAACTTTAAAACTAAATTTAAATAAAATTCAATGTAAAATATAAATTTAAACAAACTTAATTTTTTTAAAAATATTTTTAATTTCATAAATTTAAATAAAAATAAAAATTTACAAAATTTCATTATTAGTAATTTAATAGATAGTCAATTTTTCAACATTTATAAATCAATATTAGATAGTATTATTTTTTATAACTTTTTGTGTAATTTCAATATGTTTATTAATATGTTCTGAGAAATTACGAGTAGAAAAAAATCAAATATCAAATATAAATTTAATAATTATTTTAATAATATAGTTAGAATTAGTTTAAAAATATTATATATTTATGTTTTTATAATGATAATAAATAAAAGTCGAAATAAATAACTTTTTAAGATTGGACTTATATTTATGTTCCTCTGTGCACATGTGGTGACCTATACATAGTTATTTTTAGAGTAAAAAAGAAATATATAAATGATTTCATATTATTTTAAGTGGTTCTAATTAATCCAGTAAAACTAAATTTGTTATAATTGAGATGATTTACATTATAAACTTCAAAAACAACTTCAAAAGTGTGTATAAGATCTGTTCGATGACAATTTAAGTTCATTTTTTTCCTTTTTTTTATTAAAAAAAGATAATAATTAAGGTAATTCAATTATTAAAATTGTTTATTTATACATCAAATCAAACAATCTTCTTTGACACACATATACTTTACTTATTCAATTTGTTCTACACTCAACACATTATTTTATATTAAATCATAGACAATAATATTTGAAACCAATTTATATTATTATAAACAAACTTATCATAATATTTAATTATTCAATATTTTAATTACTATTATAAATAAAGCTTAATACCTCTTTTGGTCCCTCGAAAAGGGGAAATGTTAGTGCGTCCTACTTTTTTTAAAAAGTATGTGGTCCTAACATGTGAAAAAAGTGTTTAATTAAATCATTTTTAGTCACGACGTTAATTTTTTAACAGTCCAACTGCCAGCGTGAACTGAACTGTGCAACGTGTCTGTTAAGGGTGAATACGTGGCTGTCTGAGGATAAAGATACATATAACGTGGTTGTCTGACTCCACTGTCAACCACCACAACCCTGGCGGCTCCACCGCGCAACCACCAACAGCCACCACAACCCTAATCGAAACAAAATCACCCTCCAACATGAAACCCAGAAAACTCAAAACGTGAAAACAAAACCACCCCAAATCAAAAATGAAAACTCCATCATCGCTAAACTCAAAAACAGAACAAGATTAGAAACCCCAATTTCAATTATTTTGAAATTCCAATTACATCAGAGAATCTTAATTTCCTACCCTAAAACACAAGAATCAGAATCCCCAAAATTTCCAATTTCAGAACCCAAATATGCCAAACCGGAAGATTAACTCCGTTGTCGCGTCGGTCTTCCTCAGCATGCATCACCACCATCTTCACCTGTCATCATCGTTCGCACCCAGACCTATGTGCGAAAAAAATAGGGAACCCCTAAACTCAAACGAAAACAAGAGAAGGAGGAGGAGAAGGAAGCTTAAACCCCTAGAAATTGATCTTTTTGGTTAGTTCCCAAATCGGAGGAGGAAGGGCTTAACCATGCTTACTTTGCTGCCGCTACTTTCAAAGGGTCTTCAAAATTAAAAGAACACCCCTGGGAAGAAGCCATTCCTATCTCGACCTAAACACTTCCCTCACCTCAGAGACCAAGTGGCAGGAACCGAAACCCTAACCCCTCAGATTTTTTAACCACTGCCACATTATCTGACACGTTGCACAGTTCAGTTCAAGCTGTCAGCTGGACCGTTAAAAAATTAACGCCGTGACCAAAAAGGATTTAATTGCACACTTTTTTCACAAGTTGGGACCACATTTAACTTTTTAAAAAACGTAGGATGCACTTGAACATTCCCTCCCTTTCGAGGGACAAAAAAGGTATTAAGCCTATAAATAAATATCATATAAATTTTATTATTTTGGATATGTGATTATATATATATATATATATATATATATATATATATATATATATATATATTCTTATAGATATTAATAAACTTTCACGTCAAAATATTATTATTTAATAAAAATGTGACTTTAATAACTATACAAGTATGATGTTTATATAAAAATGAATTTGGATTAGATTTAAAAAGGGATAAAATTGTTCAATTTTTTGAAAAATGAATTAAATTGAATTAAAATTATAAATACTGGATGGATTGGATACAAGACATGTAACACTAACACAAGGTACTGATACAAGACATTGATATTATACTAACAATGTCACTTGATACAACACAGATTTGATACGTAAATAATTTTTTTCAAAATGAAATAAAATAGAATTTTTTTAAAAAAAATTACAAA